GCAGGTCGAAACAAATGAGGGCCTAAAAATAGCCCAGGGCCTAAGAATAGCCCTCCGTTTCAGGCTGGAAAAACTCTGGGTCTGAAAGACCCAGAAATAGGCTGAAACGGAGTAGGGCCTGCAGGCCCTCGTTTTTCAGTTTTCAGGCTGAAACGACCGGGGCCTGTAGCTCCTAAGTTTTAGGCTTTTAGGCTGAATGTCCGGGACGGGTCCTGCAGGGACCGTGTGGCTACGCAGTCTGCCACATTTACACAGGGTTTGGATTTAACTCTCTGATCGTCCTATTCCATCCTCGTGCCAAACTGCGGCTCATGAAACTCTGTCGAGATAATAGGGCGATTAAAGTTGGAGTGAATGAGAAGGCCACCCAAGATGTGTAACCGTCGGTAAACTTTGGAGAAAGGGACATTTCTTCCAAATTGGATGATCAACACTTCGCAGAATAATACTGTTTACAATGATAAGTGTTTCTTCGCCTTTGGTTCATCCTTCAAACCCCTTATCTGTGCTTTCGTAGAGAGCCGACATGAGAGGAACCGTTGGTTGATTATAATCTAAACGTATTGCTTTTACATTGATGTAAGGACCTGCCCAAACACGGACTGAGAACACAGCTGATTTCTGAGTTTTGCCGCTAGAATGAATGCGTTGCCAAGATTCCCACTTTCTGCTGAGTTTTCCAAGTCTGTGTGTGCGTGCTTGCTGATCTGCGTGCCTGTCTGAGTGCTTGTCGGCCTGAGTGTGTGTGTGACCCGCAAGGGCACTTGCTTGTTGGAAGGGCCCACAGAGCCGGTACTTACCTGTGGCCATGACTTTGAGGGTTGCAGCGGGAAAAACACTCAAGTGGCGGGAGTAGGCCCGCGACACTTGAGCAGAGGGGAGAAACACTCAAGTAGTAGGTAGGCCGGTACCATTCAAGTAGCGGTAGACGTGTCCGAGACTGGAGGCCGAGAAGAAGAAGACAAAAGTTGGCATTTTTAGAGGCCCAGTAGTTGTAGGCTAGATATAGGCAGGTGCCAGTCCAAGTAGTCTGAGTCTAGGGCCTGTGCGGACGATATCAGAGTCTGCAATGATGTTTCCTTCCGAAAGGGAGGAGGTACCGGTTGCTTGGAGGCCGCACGGCCTGGAAGTCACCACCCAAGGAGGCTGCTGCCTCGCTATATCACTGGGAAGAGCAATGAGCTCTTCCTCATTTGCTGCATGCAAGTTTGGGCGACACGCTCCTGGAGAGCTTGGTGGAGCAGCGCCAATGTGCTGCGCTGCTGGGGAAGGAGCGCCCAGCTCTCCACCTTGGCTATGGTGGAGGAGCTCGGGTAGGAGGAGGAGGAAGAAGGGACTAGGAGAGGAGAGCGCCAGGGGTACTTAACTGGCTATGGTGGACGCCATCTTCATCACCTTGGTGGGCGCTGCATCTGGAAGGGCCCCGTTGGGGTAGAGCTGCACCAAGGAGCTTTGAGGCAGAGTCAGGCATGGCGGCCTGAGAGGAGGAGGCCATAGCTACTTTGCGTTGTCTTTTGCACGTCAGGGCAAGGCCCTTAGCAGTCCACCATAGCCTCGGCCTGGAGGAAGAAGGAAGAGGGAAGCGGCCATGGCTATGGTGGACCTCAAGTTGTGCTGGAAGTCGAAGAGGGATTTGGACATTGATTCTAGTCCTGCCATTTATCATTATTATTATTATTTATTCTTGTTTGAATAAGAGGGGAGGAGAAAAGGAGGAGGAGTTTGGTTGGCAAGGAGAAGGGGGATTATTATTTCTTCTTCTTCTTCTTCTTCTTCTTCTTCTTCTTCTTCTTCTTCTTCTCCTCCTCCTCCTTCTTCTTCTTCTTCTTCTTCTTCTTCTTCTTCTTCTTCTTCTTCTTCTTCTCCTCCTTCTCCTTCTCCTTCTCCTTCTTCTCCTTCTTCTCCTTCTTCTCCTTCTCCTTCTCCTTCTTTTCCTTCTTCTTCTTCTTCTTCTTCTTCTTCTTCTTCTTCTTCTTCTTCTTCTTCTCCTCCTCCTCCTCCTTCTCCCTTCTCCTTCTCCCTTCTCCCTTCTTCTTCTTCTTCTTCTTCTTCTTCTTCTTCTTCTTCTTCTTCTCCTCCTCCTCCTCCTTCTCCCTTCTCCTTCTCCCTTCTCCTTCTTCTTCTTCTTCTTCTTCTTCTTCTTCTTCTTCTTCTTCTTCTTCTTCTCCTTCTCCCTTCTCCTTCTCCCTCCTTCTTCTTCTTCTTCTTCTTCTTCTTCTTCTTCTTCTTCTTCTTCTTCTTCTTCTCCCTTCTCCTTCTCCCTTCTCCTTCTCCTTCTCCTTCTTCTTCTTCTTCTTCTTCTCTCCCTCTCTCCTTTCAAGTTCATTCATTTCTTTTACAATTGGACGGCATTGTGCTTTCTCATGCATTTTGCAATCGAAATTGGCCAGGATCGAAACATTGAGCTGTAACTTACTAATCGTCTTTTCTCTCTTTCTGTATTTTGATTGACCTAAGTAAAAAAGGTGAGGACCTTTTCTGTATTCAGATTGACCTAAGTAAAACGAGTGAGGACCTTTAAGAGCTCATATGGACAAACGACAAAGTTAATGCATGCACACTTAAAGAAAGTTATATGTTGTTTTATCTGTGATAAGGGTTTGTGCAAATCCCCGAAACTGAGGATTGATATCAAGCTTGAAAAGTGGGCAAGCTTCTAGCTAAGTGGGATTGAACTAGAGTTCACGGTGTCACTAGATATAGCCTGATCGTTCAAGGTCAGAGGATGATAAAGGCTGGGGAGATTGGGCGAGTTGGCTATGATCGAATAGTCAGCTTGAGCGTGACAACGATTGATGGGCAAGAGTCAACTCACCCTGAGGAAAGTGGCTGATCTATTTGCCAAATGTCAACTCACCCTGAGGAAAGTGGCTGATCTATTTGCCAAATATTTGCTTGATGGAGACTAGACAAGTAGTTTGACTTGATTCTTGGGTTGGGTAGTGATCTGGAAGGCTACTGAGATTGTTCGTTTTAGTTTCGCTAATTTGAAATGCATTATTTGACTTCAATTTTAATTTTGTCTTCGCCTTGGCCGTTGCTGAGCCCGTTCTGCTGTGCTATATTCGCGTGAGCGAAGTCTGGATCAGAAACCCCGTGGTATTTCTGACGGGGAAAATCTGAACCGAAACCCCGTGCTGCAACCGGGTTAAGTGTGATTGACTGTAGCCTCCTGTCCATAAAAGGAAAGCAGCGGCTGTGAAATAGGACTTTTACACAGACAATTTTCACGAAATTGAAAATTCCCTAAGAAATGGGGGGATAGTGCGGGCTCATCTCATAATTATCCCTGAAGTTTGGGGGTGTTGCAAGTGGAACCCTTGCTGGATGAACAAGTTTCAAAAGTACGCCTGATGTTCGAGGAATTTTCAAGGGAGTCCTCCGCCTCATGTGCAAATTTCAACTTTGCCCCTAAACGTTGGGTGCATTGCAAACGAGTCCTCCATCTCTTATTCGAATTTCATTTTTTGCCCCTGAGAGTTGAATATTACCGACAAGTTCCCATCACTTGATTAAATTTTGCAACTAGCCTCGATAGCCATAGAACTTACCGAAATGTCCTTCATGCATCAGTCTTCATACATCATCCTGGTGTGAGTACTCAGACGAGCAGTACTGTAGTTGATACTGGTGCAAATACTCTCTCATGGGAGGGGCAGATCACACACTCATTTACGGCATGATGAATAGTATTTATTGTACTCTAATTTTAATTGAAAGGCAATCCACAATACAGACCCCAAATTCGAATCTCAGGGTCAAAGTCTCCGGGTCAAAGGAGCCAAGTCGGCCAATGTCAGAAAGGTCACAGTCGGGTGCCACAGGGGTCAAATCCAACAGGTACCCGGTGAAGGGTCACATCCCAAAGGCAAAAGTTGAATTCTATAAGCAAAAGTCACGTCTCATATTGAAAGGTCATATCCCACAGGCAAGGACACTTCTCCAGGCGAAAGTCGTGTCCCAGAGGCAAGAGTCACATCCCACATTCAGAAGTCATGTTCCACAGACGAAAAGTCGTGACTCACAGACCCAAGCAGCAGCACACCAATGGAAATTCGGGAAAGTAACAGGCCTCAGCATTCTGAAGCAAACAGGCTGTGGGCATGTGGTACTGGGACCAAGTCAAACCAAAGGAAGCAGAGGCTGGGCGAGTTCAGGCTAAGTCCAAGTCAATATAAGGACTGGCCAGCCACATTTCAGGGAAATTGCTCATCCGTGAGAAGTGTGGAAGTGTTGCTGGAGCGCTTGTGCGCTATCTGCGAGTGGCGTGTGCGAGAGCCCTGCTGGGCAGCGCTTTGCTGAGAGGGAAGGCAGCCATAGCCACATAGCTAGTAGTAGGAGATAGAGCTGAGTAGTAGCGGATGTATCCAGAGTCAAGATCGTCAAGTAGAGAGAGGGAGAGAGAGTAGAGGGAGAGAGTGAGTGCATACATGAAGAAGACAGAGAGAAAGAGAGAGGGACAGAGAGAGAAGAGAGTCACCTACCTTAGATGAGGATGTCGGAATTGGGTTGCTGAACTCTGCGTTGATGAGCGCTGGTGACTGGAACTCTGAAACTGCTTAATATGATAATTTGTTGGAATTTCTAAGCTGGCTATTCTGGACTTTGCATCTCTGGTCTCCAGTGTAGATTCCGTGTGATCTCTCAATGTGTGTGTATGCTCAAGGTGACTAGCAGTGAGGTTCAATGCAATTGGATCGGAACTGCATCCGCTGTTGAGGATCGCTGGCAGGATGAAGGCCGAGATGAGATTTGGAGTTGGACATTGGGGCTGAAGGCCGAAAAAGAAGTGGCCAGGTTGGGGGGTCGTGATTACGTACCTGCAAGCGTGGAGCAATCAAGGAGCTTCATTAAAGGAACGTTCACAAGTGAAGTGCAGCGCCCCCCTAAGCCCTGCATTTGCTTTGATGAATAAATGAGTGTCATGGTACCTTCCCACATCTTGGTGTCGCTGCTGCTGGACAAAGAACACTTGGTGACATATCATATTTTGTCTTGAGTCAGCATCTGGTCATACATGTGTATGAAGTATGTCGTGTCTAGGCTAGAAGCTCGAAGAAGAAAAGAAAGAAGAAGGAGGAAGTTAAAAGAAATAAGAAGAGGAGAAAGAAAAGATGAAGAAAGAGATGAAGAAGAAAGAAGAAAAGTTGAAGGAGTTAGAAGTCGAAGAAAAAGAAGGAGGAGGATTGGTGAGATGACGAGTCCAACCAGAAGGAGAGGAGGTGGCGGAGAGCAGTCATGCTGCGGAGTTGAGACTCCAGCAGATTGAAGACTTTGACTAGTGGGGAAATTTGGGTACAGGACAGAGCTTCCGAAAGAAACTGACGAAGAGAGAGATCGATTTGTGGTGAAGTTGGCAGCAACTAAGGATCAGGAAGAAAGGAATTTGCTACTTGAGGAGAATAAGAGTGAGCTCAACCAAAAGTTGTTGGCCGCGAAAAGAAAAAAAATTGATGAGAAGAAAAGGTCAAAGGAGGAAGGGGAGAGACTCCAGGCGTTGTTGAAGGAGCAAAAGGGAAACAAGTGGAAACTGAGGAACGTTGGAACCTTCTTACCGACACTTTGCTGCATACCACCCACGAACTCTCTGCACTTCAACGAACCGTTGAGAAGATAGAACGACACCAAAAGGAGTTTGGGGGCACCTGAAATAACTACATTAGTGCGTCATCCAGCCAAGTGGACCACAGGGTCCTACAATATGCACACCAACTAGATGATATCTTCACTCAGAAATTGACTAACACCATCGTTGCAGTTAAGGTAGGTGGCGGTGGTGGGGGTGGAGACGGTGGCGATGATGGAGATGATGACAAGAAAGGGAAAGGTCCCATGAAGGATGGATGAAAGAAAGGCGGAGAAGATAAGTCCGAGGGAGGAGAAAGAAGGGAGAAGGTGAAGGTTAAGGTCCCCTGGGCATATACTGGAAAGGAGGAGAGTAATTTTCATTGGGAGGCGGCGATGGACACATACCTGTTCGTGCAGTTGATTCTGTATTGGGACTGCGTACTAATGGCAAGTTCGTGCCTAGGGAAAGACGCAACAAGCTTCACTGTCTCCCTAGTAAAGGAGTTGGATACACCTCGACGGTGCAATACTCGCAACGCACTAGGATTGATGACTTTTTCAAGGCCTTGAAAGACCGCTTCGAGGATAAGAACTTAGCTCGTCGTATAGAATCCCTCATCCTTAACATTAGCGACCGCAAGTGGAAGAGTGTGTCGGCACTCAAGGCCACCCATGAGCTGCTGCAATGTCGTGAACATGGACTGACCCCCGCTCAAATTTTGAATAACTTGGCTAGAGCATTGCCAGAGCCCCTCAAGACCTAATTATATCCCTGTATTAAAAAAGAGGGGATGAACTATGAGAAGTTCAGCAAGATAGTTGTAGACCATGTAGGGTTCCTGCAAGAGGCAAACTATTGCCACTATTGGAAGGATTTACAGGCCGGTAAGAGGTGGAAGAATAAAACCATATCCAACAGTATAGAAGGTAAGGATAATTTGTTGGTCACCTTCAAAGAAGGGGGTGTAGGGTCATTATCATATGACCAGATAAATTATGGTATAGAGGACGAGATCAACAGCCAAGTAGCCCGGGAAGGGGACTGTACGGCAGTTGCAGCCGGTGGGGTAGGGTGACAAGGTAGAGGCCAAGGTAGACGAGGCCGAGGACGAGGTGTAGGTCGAGGACCCGCTGCCTTGAGGGGTGGTGGAGAAGGTGGCTACTACATGGGAGGTAGGGGTTATGGTCCCTTGCAAGGTGGTAGAGGTTCTCCCTTCATAGGGGGTAGAGGAAGAGGTAGGAATTGGCGGTCGTATCCAGCTCACCCGGGGATAGCTGAGGGCAAGCCCTAGGAAGAGATGGGTATAGACGAGAAGGTCTGGGAAGACCGTCGCAAGGCCCGCCAATGTTTTAAATATGGTGACCCCGACCACATAGTTCCCTTCTGTCTAGAGTACAGGTATCCAAAAGGGAACAGCCAGTAGAGGTTGCAATTGCCTCCACGGGGACTTCGAACTCAAACAGGAAGATAGACGTGCGCACTGAGAAGGCACCATCCTGTCCGAAGATCCCAAAGGCAGAGACTGTTGTAGGCCCCCACCTAGCTAGTTGTCCAGAGGTTGCTTGCGTTAGGACCTCTCTAGGTGGCTCCCTCACAAGCATTGGTGATGAGTTGATCACTCGTCGCCACGCTTGGGCCGAAATGAAGAAGAAATCGAAGGGGCCGATGAGCAGAGAAAGAAATGGCGCATTAATAGACAGTGGGTCAACGCGCAGTTGAAAAAGTAGAAGAGAGTTGCAAAAGTTGCACCTCGGTATGAAAGTGAAGAAGTTAGATGAGTCGGTCATTAGTAAGTTGGCCGATAATAGATAGATGATAGTGAGTGAGTATGTCGAAGGGGTTAAGGCATACTTCCGGTTGGAGGCAGGGGGCAAGGTACAAAAGGTTCTTCACTCCCTGATACTCTTAGTGGAGAATAG